TTCTCTGTAAACTCTGCACATTAACATTGCAGATAGGTACAGGGGTGGTTAAAAAAAATTTTTATTACCTGCCTTCGGGGTCCACATTTCTCATATATCCAATATGCACAAACTAAAAAGGCATCAAGACAATAGTCAAGCTAGATATCAACTGTGTGTCCACACACCTACTGTAGGGTTTAGCTCAACAAAAAGTGACTTGATTCACTTCACTGATGAGAAATAAAGAAAAATAGAACAACAGAAGTATTTGTCTCAGTTACTCAATTATGATACAGTTGGAACACTACTGGTTTTAGTTATTGTATGATGATGATGGATTTGTTTTTTGTATCATTTCAGAAATTTAAGTCAAATTGTAAAATCATATAAGAAAGTTCAAATGACTACTTGGCAAAGTAAATCTAGCAGGTTATATGCAAAGGGTTATATTTAAACAAGCTTAGCGTTATGGTATCAGTATTTGGTAGGTTCTATTACGAGGTTCCCTTTCACATTCACCTTTAATGAGTAGTGAAATATTGCATTAACCAGTCAAAAATTATGTATGACTAATTATGTATGACTAATCAAAAATTATGTCAGACTAAACCAAAGAAAATAATTTTTTTTCAATATCCTCACTGTAGTCTACACTGTTTTTGTTACAACTCTGTGACTACTTAAAGTTATATGATGTGCTACTCTTCACTCAGATACTGCTCCTTGGCCCTGTCAATACAAAAGGAACAGGCTCCTTAGAACCCTGTTTTTCAACTGTAGGTCAAGATCTGTGAATGAGTTATACAATCAATTTAGTCACCATCAGCAGTGAAACAGAATAGAGAAATACGGAGTTCCCTGGTGGTCTAGGGGTTGGGATTCTGGGCTTTCTCTGCTATGGCCCGGGTTTGGTTCCTGTCAGGGAACCGACATCCCACAGGTGCGGGGTGGCCAAAAAAAAAGAGAGAACAGAGAAACAAATATCAACATACGTCAAACCATGATAAGCAAAGGATTACTGTGAAACTTCAGCCTGTTCATCATCTATACATATGCACACACACATGTACCAAGTCCTGAATGTAAAATGGTTTTCTTAGTAAGAGATACTGTCAAAGAAGTTTGGAAAACACAGCCTTGGTGGAATAGTCATCTCCAATCCTGGGACCAGGACTTAGGACTGGAGGTGCCTGGAGCACACACTCATGAAGGCTTGCTGTAGTACCCCCCAGCAGTACAATGGGGGTATGGAGGGAGGAGGTGACAGAGTAATAAAGACTTGTGGGATACACAGATTGCAAAGAAGGCTTAAGAAATGAGTTAGTGATTTAAAACACTAATTAAACATCCCCCTGGCCCTTTACCAAATATAGCCCAAATCTCTGGGCTCAGCTCTTCCCCACTGGGTCCCAAGCTCCCTTTACACCTTCTCTCATCTTTGCCCCCAACATTCCCTTTTTTCCACCCAACGTTCCATGTCTCTCAGTGAACCATAAACCTTTACATTCTTTACACCTGCCTTCCCCTTAGCCCAGGCCTCCCCTTCTGAGTATAGCCCATGCACCTGTTGGTTAGATAACTGATGGTCTCCCTGTTGTATTAATAGCACTGCCCTGTCCCCACCTGTGGATGAGGCCATGTTGTATTTACTGTGGTTCGCTGGGGAACCTGCCTCATTCATACTCAGTATTTAATAGTTTTTTACCTTTTGATCAATTTTGTAAACAACTCCTTTGAAAAGACGAGTTTATTACATGATTCTCCAACCACTGCTTTTCAATACATCTTGAAGGTGCATTAAAAAAGAAATGTTATAGAACTTCCCTGCTGGTCCAGTGGTTAAGAATCTGCACTTCCACTGCAGGGGTCATGGGGTTCATCCCTGGTCAGGGATCTAAGACCCTATCTACTGTATGATGAGGCCCAGAAAGAAAAGCTGTGAAAGAACCAAACTCTACTGGGAGCAAAGTGCTTTCAATATACACCTGTTGGGCTGGGCTGTGAAGATTAGGCACCTATAAGGCACAACAAGCACTGTCTAATTTAGGGGTTACAAAAACCAAAACTTATCTGATTGGTTGAAGCCATCAATCTAGAGTTCCTGACAGAAGAGGAAAAATCTATGAAAGAGGAGCCACAAAACATGTTGAGGACTCAGATGGGTCTCTGGTTCTGAATCACCATCCTTCAGTCATTTATACCCTCAGCCACTTGAAATAATCACCTTTGTGCTCCAGGATAAGTGAAAACTATACCCTCAGGAAAAAATATAAGTAAAAACAGAGCTAGTGAATAAGCAAATGTAAATCCACTGAACTGAAATGTTTATAATCAGTTTTAGCAATGCAAGTACAGATCAGTAATGTAACCATGTGTGTCTGGTCAACTTTTTAAGGTATAAAAATATTTAAAAATAATTTCATATACAGTGGGCCCTTGAACAAAATGGGTTTGAACTGCTTGAATCCACTTATGAGGTTATTTTTTTCAGCATAAATACTATGGTACAGCATAATCTGTGGTTGGTTGAACCTGCAGATGCAGAACCACAGATATGGAGGAACCCTGGATAGACGACTGGCTGTTAAGTTACACAGGCAGATATTTGCCTGTGTTGAGGGCCAGTGCACCCAACGCCCTGTTGTTCGTCAACTGTACTCACTTGGGAAGTTTAAATTCTTAGAAGTATTTAGGTAATAATTAATATTTGCATGAAAATTTGTCTAAGTGGTTAAACCTGAAAGTTCTCATGTATTAGTTGTTGAAACACTAATCACTTACAGTCTAGAAAAGTATTCGTTTAATTAACTTGTTAGACTAGTAGACTGATTACTAAATAATGCACAAAAGGATTACAGGTGGTTCTCCACACTAAGCTGTTGGAACAGAAAGAATCTTAGAAGGCTTCTGGGATAGGAGGAAGGGTTATGCCTTTTTCATACTCCTACCCTTATGACCAACCCAGATACCATATTAAAAAGCAAAGACATTACTTTGCCAACAAAGGTTTGTCTAGTCAAGGTTATGGTTTTTCCATTGCTCAAGTATGGATGTGAGAGTTGGACTGTGAAGAAAGCTGAGTGCCGAAAAATTGATGCTTTTGAACTGTGGTATTGAAGAAGACTCTTGAGAGTCCCTTGGACTGTAAGGAGATCCAACCAGTCCATCCTAACAGAAATCAGTCCTGAATATTCATTGGGAAGGACTGATGCTGAAACTGAAACTCCAATACTTTGGCCACCTCATGCAAACAGCTGACTCATTGGAAAAGACCCTGATGCTGGGAGGGATTGGGGGCAGGAGGAGAAGGGGACAACAGAGGATGAGATGGCTGGATAGCATCACCAACTCAATGAATTTGAATTTGAGTAAACTCCAGGAGTTGGTGATGGACAGGGAGGCCTGGTGTGCTGCGATTCATGGGGTCACAGAGTCGGACACGACTGAGCGACTGAACTGAACTGAACCCTATGGGCAGTGTCCTGAGGACAGAATGCAGTGGCTGGGGCTGCCATAGCTGTCTTATGTGTCTGGCAGTGGCTGAGGGAAAGGATGGACACCCTCTCCACTATGGATTTTATTTACTTGCAACTTTTCGGCCTGCCTTTCCACCCCACCTCCACCTCCATCACCAGCTCTCAATCTTGGTTACTCATTACTCTTACTGATTCTCTGGACCCACCCTTAGAGATTCTGATTGAACTGTTGTGGGGTACAGCCTGGCATGAGATTGGGGTATGTGCCCCAGGTGATTTTAATGAGCAACCAGGGCTGAGAACCACTGCTCTAACTGTAAGCCAGCTCCTCTTTTCCCTTTGGATTTTATCTCCCTCACATTGTGGTTATCTATGTCTAGTTCCTCCTTCCAAGACTGTGAGCGAGCTCCCACTGGCCTTCCAAACAACGCAGGTAGCACTTTTCAGCCCATTGCTAACGGAAGTACCAGAGTCCCGCCGTACTTAGAATATAGGTTCTATAGCTTTTACTTACAGAATCAAATGAGTCAAAATCACCCTTGATAATCCCTCAGGAAGGGTCTGTTCTTGGAGCCTGATGCCCTATCTCCCCATCACCGTCTACGTAGGTAGTTTCCTCCTGGACTGGAACAGAAAGCTGCCTCTTCCTCCGCCAGGCACCAGAGTTAAGTAGGTGGTTGTGTTTAGGGGCCATGTGCATAAAAAATACACATTTAAACACATGCCTCACCCTCAGCACAGCAGGAAGCTCATGCCTTGAACAGCCCACAGGAACCAGTGACTGACCCTATGGGAGACACACATCTCCCATCTCACACCTACTCCTGAACATATGGTCCTTACATCCATCAGTGGGTGGAATCGCCCACACCATTTAAACTTTTTGTCAAGGATGGAGAACTGAATTCATGTGCAGTCCTATATGAAGCAAGGTCCCTCCACTGCACATTTCCATCCAGCTCAAGCAGGTCTTCCCCTTCTTTTTCCCTGCCCCACAAGCAGCTGGCCCAGCCTCTCCCCTCCCTGACCTCTCTTCCTTCCCTCTTAAGGTTGATGTTTTCTAGGATTCTCATCTGTGGCACCTCTCATTAACTCTTCCTAAGAGCTCTCATGGTGAGAACTTCCTCAATTCGGGGAGATGTGGCCCAAGAGGATTCCCTCTATGGCTCTGGTAAGGTGGGGGGGTGGGGAGTAAGACCTCATCCAGGCCTTGGGGGCTGGGCTTGCAGGGCACAAAGGAACAGAGTAAATGATCAGTTTTTTTTTAATGCATGCATTCATAACAATGGAACTTGCATCCGTTTCCAAAGGACCCCACCCCCACCCCCAAGATAAATTCCAAAATGAGATTTTCACCAGCTCATCCGGCACCCCAGGCCAGGCCTTCTGCCACACCAAGCCACACCAAGCTCATGAGCACTTATTGGGCCTTTAATCTGTAACTGCCTGGCCACACTCCATCTGCCCCAAGATGGTGAGAAGGAAAAAGATGTAAGGCCAGGTAGGCCATGCCAGCTCTCAGTCCAAGAGGGAAGGCCTAGGTCACGCTGGGGCCTGAGCAGGGGGCTCCCGGCCCCAGGAGATGAGGGAGTTGCTGGCCTGGGCAAGCTCAGTGATGGACACCCGGCCCCGCTGTCGGATGAAGTTAGCCACCGCAGCCAGTTCCTCCGGGGTTATGTAGATGAACTTGCCCCGGTCGTCAATCACACCTGTGGGGACATGCAGGTTGTGGTGCTGAGCCCTCCCCACACGCCCAGCGACCCACCCACTCCTCCTGCCTGCCTGCTTGGCCTTTTCCAGCCGTATCGAACTTTGGCAAGTCAAATCAGGCTTCCTTGCCTGTCCTTGTCACCCAAAGCCATCACCAGGCCTCGGCACCCTCCTTGTTGAACTGCATCCCCCTTCTCGGTGCCCCTCCTTGTACACTGCTCCCCCACCCAGGGTGCTCATCCTAGCCTTGTGGCCCCACATGGCTAGACGTTCCCCAAGGCCAGGGCCCGTAGTGACACTGTCCTCCTCTCACCTGTAAGAGTCCCCTCAGCCAGCAGGTCCTGGATGCGGTTTATGGTGTCCTATGAGGAGAACAGTTCTCAGAGTAGGGACAGGTGCTGCCATCCCCAGAAGAGATACCTACAACCTCCCTCCGACCACAACCAAACCTCTCCTCTCGTCATGGCCACCCTGCAATGTGACTCCACGTGTCTCCTTTGGAGGGCCCTGGAGAGAAGGGGCTCTGGTCCTGGGGTCTGGCAGGACCCCCCACCCCGCACCCTGAGAGAGGCTCCCTTCCAACTAGAAGAGAAGTGGTGACATTTGGCTGAGAAGGCTGGTACGGGCTGTTGCAGGACAGCTGTCTTGGTAATTGGATTTGGGCTGCTGGAGTGATGGGGTTCAGACCTTTTTCTTTTTTTCTCCCTAACTGCTTTCCAACTAGTTATAAAGGCAGGATGCTTGGGATGACAAGAGATTCCTACAGTATACTCACTCTTGGCTGGGGGTAGGGGGGAAGGGGCATTGAGTTACCTGAGTACGCAGGCCCACCTGGGAAGCCAGGTCTTCCAAGAGCACGACCTTGGACTGCTACAAACAAAGGGAGGAGAAGGTGCAAGGCTGAGCTTGGGCAAATCCTTTTCAGCACTGGAACCCTCTGAAGTTGGTGTTCTGATCTGATCTGCTCTGGGTGGCTAGACACACACTGTGCAGATCCTATGGGAGAGCCTTGTTCCCCTCACACATTACTCACACACTCTCTCAATCACCCATATAGAGACATACGCATTCATAAACACTCCTGTTCCCCTGCTTGGGGGCAGAGATCTGCCCCCCAGGCCCTTGTACTGAGGACCTCCCTGAGACAGAAACACACCCAGAGAACCAAGCACAGCTGCCGGCTTCTCCTCTGCAACCAGAGTTGTCTTTCTAACATCTTGGACAGGTTGGAAAGGAAAACGCCTCAGAGATGAACGGGAGGAACGACAATCACCAAAAGTTATTTTAAAAAACCTTTTCTGGTACTTGTGTTCGCTGAGAACTTGCCAGGACCAGGCACTGAGAAGGTGTGGGAGAAGCAATGTGGAACAGGACATGGCCCACAGCCCCGCCAAGAAGAAGGTGAGAATGGGGAGAACAGAGCAGATAAACAGCCCCAATAAGCCAGGACCTAGGCAGCTCCATCTTGCCTCACCTTTGCTCCCTGTTGCCTGGCCCAAAGATCACAACGCTGACATGCCCATACTTCCTGTCACCGTGCTCTTCACGCTGTATGAGCCCTCCATAAGATAACTGTCCGTAACACCGGCCAGCACTTTGCACACACAGCCATGTGCCCGCAAGCTTCCCTCACACCCTCAGAAGAAACTTTAGTTCCTGGGGGCTGCAGCTGAGGGTCCACTGCTGGGCCCTACCTGCACCTGCCCCGTCTCCCTCACAAACAAAGAGCATGTGACTTGTGAGAAGGCGATCTTCTGCATCTCTGTGAATCTTCCACAGCAAATGAGCTGGGGGAGGGCTGACAGGGTGACACCTCCCCAGCTGCAGATGGCGTGAGACTGTTCGAAATGCCAAACTGAACATGTAAGCAGGGAGGCAAGTGAATGGCAGCTGGGCCAGGGTGTGGGCAAGTACCAGGTGACCTGGCCAGCTGGCCTTTACCTACAAAACAGGGAGTGGGTGCTGGGCTCCCAGCAGCAGCTCAGAGTGGGATTATGGAGTCACCCCAGGTGGTCCCTGAAAACCTTGTCTGAGGGGTTGCTGGCGCCAAAAGTATGTCTGGAAAAACTAATTAATCAACCAACCCAATCCAATCAGAAGGGAGAGTGGACCAACAAGATCAAACTACGGCTGAGCCTCATGTAACTCCTGTGCACAGAAACATCCCTCCAGTTCTGAAACCCTAGGATGAAAGGGCCCATCCCCTTATGCCAAGAGGAAGGTGGGTAGGCTGAGTTTTGGAAGTTCTCCTTTTCCCTATGACAGGAGCTCTGGGACAGTCAGCTAGCGTAAGCTGGAGAAACTTATACTAAACTCCAAAAGAGCTTGGGAAACACCAGAAAATGGCCCCTCCAGAGAGCTGTTGAAAGCAAGGATAGGAACTGCCCTTGTAGGGTAGACTACAAGGCAGACTCAAGGTCTCTGCCTTGTAGGGGTGGGAACTGAAGCTGATGCAGGAGGGCTTCCTGGAGGAGAGACTCAGGGCTGTGTTGCTGCCCACTGAGTGGGTGGGGACAGTGAGCTCCAAATAGCAGCAGGAGAGTGTGGCATATCCTGCCCAGGGTTGCAGCCCTCAACCAAGTGTGCCAGGGTGGAAAATGGACTCTACGAGAAAGGAATGGTCACTGTCTGGGGGAGCCTCCTCCCTCTCAGGAACCCCCAGCCCCTACGCTGTGAGCCTAGCCCCTTGCAGCTAGGAGGTATCTAAACCCTGCTCTCTTTTGGGAGAGGTGGGGGGGATTATGCAAGCCCTGGCTCCTTGGCACCCCTAGTACCACCCCCACCACCGCCTCCGCTCCCTCTGTACTCCTTCCCTCAGCCGCCTCTGCACCCCTAAGCTGCACTTGAAAACCTCTCCCCTCATTGCATCCTTTGTGGGAGAGAAGTTGCTTAGCAGCAAAGCAGAGCAGGACATGCTTATGCAACCGGAGCAGTATTCAGGAGGCCTGTGCTGCAGCTGCAGACAGAAGGGGGCACACCTGCTACCCTGCCCTAGATTCCAAAGGAAACATCTTCCAGTATCCCGTGGAAGACCCAAGTTCCTGGTCAGGAGCACATGGCAGGGGATGTGGCTTCACCTCAGTATGACAGAACTGGTAGAAAACACATGTGAAGAAACTTGAAAACACAATGACTCACTGAGCGTGGGGTCTGAAGAGCAGGGAAACTGTCAAACCCTAAGCATGAGGAAGCGATCGTATCTCCCACACAGATCAGGTCCTTCCCCACCTTTGAGGTCAGAGGAGAAGGGGCCTTCCTGGCCAGGAACCTAGCAGGCCCATCTGCTCACTCCTGCACAAGCTTGAGTGACATGTGTGCAGACCCCCTTGGGCCTACCCCCTCCAAGCCCTGAAGATGAACCCAACATACATACAAGAAGCAAGCAGCTGACACCCAGGTTCTGCTCTGCATTTCTTACCTTAATGTAGTTGATGAATTCAGCCAGGAAGCTATGGGACTAGAAAAGCAGAGAAATCAAGATGAGAGTGCCCCTGGCAGGGGCCACAAGGGTCTATGCCTACCTACCTGCCCAGCTGAGTGCCTGTTCAACCACCTGGGTGAGCAGCAGAGCCTCCTGTGGGGAGGGGATCGAGGCACCACCTCTCCCAAAGACAAGGTCTGGGCCACTAGAGCCTGCTGATCCTGATGCCCACCCACCTCTCACTGGATGACCAGGGAAGCAGGTGAGGAGCTGTGGGGTGTCTGAAATGGGGGTGTCCTGCCTTTCTGGGCTCAGGGAACGTTTCCTAGGGGTGGTGGACCCACCTGCTCCTCAGTCATGGTCTCGCCCACACCCTCCTCCTCCACCACGAAGGTCTCCTTCAGTTTCAGATACTCTTCATGCTCCCGCTGGGCCTGCTCCTCTTGGGCCTTCCTCTCCTCCTCTTCCTGTGGACACAGGGGAGGCAAGAGTCAGATAGAGTGGCCACCCTATTCTGTTTTGGTCCTTGCTGTTCCCAGAGGCCGGAACAGAGCTCCTTCAGGACCTCGATCCCTCTGGCCCCTAAGCTAAACAGCATGATCCCTCTTCTCAATCAGTTCTATCACCTCCCAGACACTGCTCAGCATCCCTCTCCCTGAAAATCCTGCCATGAACGCCGTATAATATCCTCCAGTCACCCCCTCCCACATCCTGCCCTGTCATGTCCAAGCTTTGTGAACAAAACCCAGGTTCCATTTCTCATCAGTCAACCATCCCTCTAGCCCACTCCAATCTGGCTTCTGCACACTCAGCTCCACCAAAATAAGTCCTGCTATGGCCTCACCCATGTCCTCTACCCACCAAAGCCAAGGGACAACCATCAGGCCTCATACCCCGGTCCTCTTCCATCCCTTGGCTTTCAGACCCTACCCTCTCCTGGATTTCCTCCTGTTCCTTGGGTCATTCTTCCCACTGCCTCCATCACTCAGCCCAGTCCCTTCTCTCTCCTCCACTCACTGCACCACCTCACTATGCCCACAGCATCAATTATGCCCTAATGAAAAATGAATGAAATCCCAATAATGTGTTAAATTCACTTAATAATAACGTATTATTACTAGCTGTAAAAAATATACCACAGTAAGGTATGATGTTAATAGTAAGGGTATTTGAGTGCCAGTGACTGCTGCTGTTGTATCCTTACACAACTCTCTCTTCCCAAACAAACGACTGCCCACATGGCACACACACTGAGCTGTCTCACAGGCACCTCAAATTGATGATGTCCCAGAAAGACCCTGTGATCTACTTCTCACACATCTGGTACTCCTCCTGAATCCTTGGCTTAGCGAATCTCACAGCTATCTGGCCAGCTGCTTTGGTCAGAAATGAGGCTCCATCTACCACTTCTTTCTTTAACTTCTGGAAAACTGCTTGATCCATCCACCATCACCTAGTGCAACAGTCTTGCCCCAAACCAACCCATTTTCCAGGATTCTCAGAGAAAGATCTATCTTAAACATGAAGATAAAGCTGTGACATGGAATATACAAGATGAGCCTGGAGCATTTTTCAGTGTCAAAAGTAAGAAAGTACTCAAAGAAGAAAAACAATAAGGGTATGTCAAAGGTAAACAGGGATCAACTAAAAGCGCTCCCAGTAGCCAAAGCTAGAACAATCTAAGCAAAAAAGTAAATAAGATAGCACTAGATGGGACTTCACTGGTAGTCAGGTGGTTAGGACTCTTCATTTGCACTGCTAAAGGCCTGTGTTCAGTCCCTGGTTGAGGAACTAAGATTCCACAAGCCATGTGGCACAAAAAAAAGATAGTACTTAGATTACAATACAAAGTGCAAAACATGTCATATCCATGTAGATACAAATAAACAACTGAATAAATAAAGAAAAGATAAATCTGTACAAATGAATTTTAAATACTTCATGTAAATACTCTCCTCTTAAGTAGATGGAGCATAACTCCCTACTTCTTAAGTGTGGGCTGTGCAGTAGCTTGTTTCCAAGAAACCATGGGAAGTAGAGAAATCTGGCAAACATAATCTTGGCCAGGTGATCAAGGTTAGCATACAAGTGATAAGTCAAGTCAATAACATGAAATCTTGATATGTTGTGTTGAGGATGGCACTCCACCTCTGGTCTTCCTCCCAGAAATCCATAACCCCTATTCTAACCTTGACAATAACATAAGCCGAATGCAAATAGAGGGACATTTTACAAAATACTTCCCCAACAGTTCTCAAAACTGTCAAGGTCATCAAAAGTAAAGAAAGTCTGAGAAACTATCACAACTCAGAGGAACCTAAGGAGACATGAAAACTAAGTGTAACGTGGTATCCTGGATGGGACCCTGGAAAAGGAAAAGGATACTTGGAGGAAACTACGGAAGAGAAGACTCTACACATGGACATCACCAGATGGTCAACACCGAAATCAGACTGATTATATTCTTTGCAGCCAAAGATGGAGAAGCTCTATAAAGTCAGCAAAAAGAAGACCGGGAGCTGACTGTGGCTTGGATCATGAACTGCTTACTGCTAAATTCAGACTGAAACTGAAGAAAGTGGAGAAAACCACTAGACCATTCAGGTATGACCTAAATCAAATCCCTTATGACTAGACAGTGGAAGTGAAAAATAGATTTAAGGGGCTAGATCTGATAGAGTGCCTGATGAACTATGGATGGAAGTTCGTGACACTGTACAGGAGACAGGAATTAAGACCATCCCCAAGAAAAAGAAATGCAAAAAAGCAAAATGGCTGTCTAAGGAGGCCTTAAAAATAGCTGTGAAAAGAAGGGAAGCGAAAAGCAAAGGAGAAAAGGAAGCTCTGAACGCAGAGTTCCAAAGAATAGCAAGGAGAGATAAGAAAGCCTTCCTCAGTGATCAATGCAAATAAATAGAGGAAAACAATAGAATGGGAAAGACTAGAGATACCAAGGGAATATTTCATGCAAAGATGGGCTCAATAAAGGACAGAAATGGTAGGGACCTAACAGAAGCAGAAGATATTAAGAAGAGGTGGCAAGAATACACAGAAGAACTGTACAAAAAAGATCTTCACGACCCAGATAATCAAAATGGTGTGATCACTCACCTAGAGCCAGATATCCTGGAATGCGAAGTCAAGTGGGCCTTAGGAAGCATCACTACTAACAAAGCTAGTGGAGGTGATGGAATTCCAGTTGAGCTATTTCAAATCCTGAAAGACGATGCTGTGAAAGTGCTGCACTCAATATGCCAGCAAATTTGGAAAACTCAGCAGTGGCCACAGGACTGGAAAAAGTCAGTTTTCATTCCAATCCCAAAGAAAGGCAATGCCAAAGAATGCTCAAACTACTGCACAATTGTACTCATTTCACAGGCTAGTAAAGTAATGCTTAAAATTCTCCAAGCCAGGATTCAGCAATACGTGAATCATGCACTTCCAGATGTTCAAGTTGGTTTTAGAAAAGGCAGAGGAACCAGAGATCAAATTGCCAACATCTATTGGATCATCGAAAAAGCAAGCGAGTTCCAGAAAAACACCTATTTCTGCTTTATTGACTATGCCAAAGCCTTTGACTGTGTGGATCACAATAAACTGGAAAATTCTTCAAGAGGTGGGCATACCAGACCACCTGACCTGCCTCTTGAGAAACCTGTATGTAGATCAGGAAGCAACAGTTAGAACTGGACATGGAACAACAGACTGGTTCCAAATAGGAAAAGGAGTACGTCAAGGCTGTATATTGTCACCCTGCTTATTTAACTTATATGCAGAGTGCATCATGCAAAATGTCAGGCTGAAGAACCAGCTGGAATCAAGATTGCCGGGAGAAATATCAATAACCTCAGATATGCAGATGACACCACCCTTATGGCAGAAAGTGAAGAGGAACTAAAGAGCCTCTTGATGAAAGTGAAAGAGGAGAGTGAAAAAGTTGGCTTAAAGTTCAACATTCAGAAAACTAAGATCATGGCATCCGGTCCCATCACTTCACGGCAAATAGATGGGGAAACTGGCTGACTATTTTTCTGGGCTCCAAAATCACTGCAGATGGTGACTGCAGCCATGAAATTAAAAGACGCTTACTCCTTGGAAGGAAAGTGATGACCAACCTAGACAGCATATTAAAAAGCAGAGACATCACTTGTGAACAAAGGTCCCTCTAGTCAAGGCTATGGTTTTTCCAGTGGTCATGTATGGATCTGAGAATTGGACTATAAAGAAAGCTGAGCGCCGAAGAATTGATGCTTTTGAACTGTGGTGTTGGAGAAGACTCTTGAGAGTCCCTTGGACTTCGAGGAGATCCAACCAGTCCATCCTAAAGGAGATCAGTCCTGGGTGTTCATTGGAAGGACTGATGTTGAAGCTGAAACTCCAATACTTTGGCCATCTGATGTGAAGAGCTGACTCACTGGAAAAGACCCTGATGCTGGGAAAGACTGAGGGCAGGAGGAGAAGGGGACAACAGAGGATGAAGTAGTTGGATGGCATCACCACTTGATGGACATGGGTTTGGGTGGACTCCGGGAGTTGGTGATGGACAGGGAGGCCTGGCGTGCTGTGGTTCACGGGGTCGCAAAGAGTCGGACACGACTGAGCAACTGAACTGAACTGAATGAAATCCCAATAATGTGTCAAATTCACTTAATAATAAATTATTATTAGTTCTAAGAAATATACCACAATAAGGTATAAGGTATGATGTTAATAGTAAGGGAATTGGGGTGTAGGGGAGAAGAGCCCCAGAATACTTTAGGTGCATTATTAGAATCAATATTCAGAAAAGTAAACCCTGAGGCTGGGAAAGATTGAAGACAAAAGGAAAAGGTGGCGGCAGTGGCGGCAGAGGATGAGATGGTTAGATAGCATCACTGACTCAGTGGACGTGAATTTGAGCAAACTGTGGGAGACAGTGGAGGACAGAGAAGCCTGGCATGCTCCACTCCAGAGGATCACAAAGAGTTGGACACGACTTAGTGACTGAAATCTTCTGCTGTGTTCCAGCATCCAGAGCCAGGCTTTCCAGACATCCAGTGTCCCTGAATAACAAGGACAGTCAGAGGCCAAAGGTACCAGGCTATGGGGTCTTCCCAGCTGGGCAGCCCGGGCTCTTACTCTATATACCCCACATCTTTATGGTGGTGCCCTTTTTGGGCACCTGATTCTCAAAAGGAAGGAAGCACCTGGCAAATGAAGGCTGATTCACCACCCTTACTGCAGTGGTCTCCATCAAGCATCTTCTCTCTGCCAGGCCCTGAACAGAACCTGGTACAGATATGATCCATCTCTTACAGTGTTCTTTAATGGCCCAAAGGGCCTCAGGGTTCAGAGTTCCCCCGCCCCACCTCACCTCTCTGACCCCTTTCCTTCCTCCTTCCCCTGCTCTAGCCACTCTTGTCTCAACGTTCTTCAAATGCTTCAGGTGTGTCCAATAAATTACATGCACAAAATTTCGGTTTCAGGCTCCCTTTATCAGCAGCAGCTTTATAGAAGCTGTGCCCAGAACACAGGAACCAAATAAATCATGGCCTGCACCGGGCTCACGGCCCCTCTTCTAGGCTGCAGGTGTAGGGAAGCTGCATGGGAAGCAAGAGGGCAGTGCAGGTGGCGCTAGCGCTAAAGAATTCACCTGCTAATGCAAGAAATGCAAGAGACGTGGGTTTGATCCCTGGGTCGGGAAGATTCCTTGAAGTAGGAAACAGCAACCTGCTCCAGTATTCTTTCCCAGAGAATTCCATGGACAGAGGAGCCTGAAGGCCTACAGACCATGGGGTTACAAAGACTTGGACACCATTGAGCATTCACGGGCACGCACATGCACGCACACACATACATACACGAAGCAAGTCTCCCTGGACAGCAGACAGAAGTCAGCATCTGGGGCCTGGCTCACCTTCTGTTCCTCCTCCAGGCGAAGCCGTTCTTCCTCCTTCTTCCACTCTGCCTCACGCTGTGACTCAAGGCGTTTCCGTTCCTCACGCTCAGCCTCCTCTGCCTGGAGAAAGGCTTTCATAGTTGGCACATCTCCACCTCCAGCCAGAGCCTGCCTACCTCCCAAACAGGCCAGGTCAGGCCAAAGACCACGGTTGCAGGAGACGGAGTTAGACAGAGTTAGCATCAAACACCCACCCAGCATGAGGGGAGGGTCTGCTACATAGGAGACAAGGAAGGCAGGGCCCTTTCCCACCTCTCAGAGCTGCACCCCCATCCCTCCTGCTTGCCTCACGCTGGGCTTTTCGTGCTTGTTTCTCCTCCAGCTTCCGTAGTTTCTTGGCTCCAATTTTCCCGGACAAGTGAGTTTCCACTGGCTTCTCTATGTCTTCTTCCTCTTGGGCTGAGTATGGTCAGAGAAAGACACGTCAGGTCCTGGCCACAGAGGACAGATGATATTCACCTTATCCCTTGTCACTCTCCTCGAGGGGGACTTCCTTCCACTCACTTGCAAATACCACTAGTCCAGCTCTGCCCTCTTAAAGCCTCTGCCATGCAGAAATTTGTCTGGGATGTATGTGTTACGTTTGGGAGAGGGGTGAGGGAACCATGGAGCAAGAAAACAGATGATAATATTAGATGCTATATAGCCATAAAGAGGGCACTTGAGCCCTTGAGTGAAGCCCTCAGAGAATGAGTGTGCCCCCACAAGGAAGAGTGTTGGGATAGAAGGAGTGGACTTAAGAATTCTCTAGGTCAATCTATAGACTCCTGCCCTCCTGTTTGGACACTGAGAGCCAAAATGAAGGAAGAAGGGGTTGGCCCAATGGAATAGGGATCAGGGTCCAGAGCTGCTAGTCCCCAGGGAAGAAAGGATGGGTCCTAAGTCTCCCCTAGGGGCTTCCCTGGTAGCTCAGTGGTAAAGAATCCACTTGCTAATGCAGAGACGTGGGTTCGATCTCTGGGCTGGGAAGATCCCCTGGAGGAGGAAATGGCAACTCACTCCAGTTTTCGTGCCTGGGAAATCTCAGGACAGAGGACTCCATGGAGTCACAAAAGAGTCAGACACAACTTAGCGACTAAACAACAACAAAGTCTCTCCTAACCACATCCAAGGATTCCCAGACATTCCTCCCACACTATGGCTTCACACCGCATTCTTTTGCCTAGCTTTGGGGTCACCTCACCCTCTAACCCAGGCCCCTTCTCCACCAGGTTGGGCCCCTCTCACCTTGGATGATGGCCTCCTCCTCATTCTCATCGGCCCAGGCCACTCGCTGGGCTCGACGCTGGGCCTGTAAGCGGCTGCCCAGGTCTCTCCGGCGCCGGGGCCTGCCCACGGCTCTCTGCTCCTCGGGCTCTAGGGGCTGAGGCCGAGCCACTTGGCCTGCTACTGCTGGTTCCCCTTCATTGTGCAAAGGCTCTTGGACAGCTGTAGGGAAGAGAAGCACCATGATTCTCTCTGGCAGCCCAACTCACCTCTTGGCAGGGGGAATAGCATCCTGGAAGCCTCACCCTCCTCTGCTCAACTTCCTCCAAGCTCCTGCTGTCCACAACAACGTCCTAATTTCTCAGCCTGACTTTGGAGTCTTTCATAACCCAAACCCTGACCTTGGTCCAATGCAGCAAGAGCACTCCTTTCCTCCCACCTCTGTTGATACCTTTCTTTCCTCTTAAGGCCCCACCTTTCCTGCTGACCCATCAGGAGACTACCACCCTGAAAAATGGAGCTGTTCTACCTCTTCCAGAAGCCCACCTTGACCTCTCCAGGCCTCATCTGAATGAATGCCCACATCAGTACTGTATTAATCTTTTGCCTAACACCACCTGCCACGGTTTTATCTGGAATTCCAATCAGAGAGCAGACCCGACCGCGAAGTCTCTCCTCCCAGGAAGACTTGTTGGCTACTTGCCTTACCTCAGCTTCTCTGTCCCCTGCCCCTGGCAGATGCTCCGAATAGCTTGTGGGCCGAAGGAGGGGGAGGGACATATACACAAACTCATATGCCGATAAAGAAATGATGGGGAGGGGGCCAGGGTGGAGGATGACAGGTGGATCTGTTATGTGCCCTGGCAGCTGACACGGCCTTCCGGGCGGGGTGCAAAACAGGGAGGAGCGTGCAAGCACACATGGGTGTTCTTGAGGGGTAAGGAGAGCTTCCTGGAGCCGCCTCACGCTCTTTTCTGTTCGCAGGTAGTAGAAAACACTTAGGGGCCCCCTTCTCGTCAGCTGCTCTGGACCCGGCCTGGGAAGCATGGGAAACCCCTGTGGATCCCTCAACGGACGCAGCCGGGGGCTGCCTGGATAAAGGATGGTAGTGTCTGCCAGGGCCTGGCCCTCAGGGAGGGCCAAAGGGGTGAGAAAATGAGAGCACGCTCTCTTCGGGGGCCAGGAAAAAGGTGTGGGACCCAGCCACTTGGTCCACGAGCAAGCATCTGCACTGCGGCGCCCTGCAGGTCTCCGCTCTGCGCACGCATGCTCAGACGTGCGGCCTGCGGCAGGCGGAAGGCGCGGAGATCTGGTCAGCTCCGCCGGGCAAGTCGGCGCATGCGCATAAGCCGCGGCTCCACGGCCTAGAGAGGCTGAGGAGAAAAGAGGACGCGCGGCCCCACCGGCCCTGGCGCGGCGGCATCTCCTACCTGCTGCCGCCCGGCCCCGGCTGCGAGTCAGGAAGAGAATAAGCCCGACAAGCAGAGCTGCCACCGCCAAGTACACCACGGGGGACACCATGACGTGGACTTCCAAGTGGAACCAGCGCGTCACCCAGAAACCCGGGATCTCCCAGGCCCCGCCCACCGCTCATGTGGCCCCTCCTATTTCCTATCTAGACCCCGCCCACCTCTCGGCCCCGCCCTGGCCTCACTAAATGGAGAGGCCCTAATTTTTTTTCTTAATCAATCCGCAGTACAGCACAGTGACTCAGGTGTGTGTGTGTGTGTGTGTGAATGTATATTTTCAAAACAGTAAATACCAGAGGGACTTCCTCAGTGGGTAAAACTGGGCACTTCCAATGAAAGGGACCAGGGTTCAATCCCAGGTCAGGGAACTAGTGCCCACTTCCCGCAACTAAAGATCCCATATGAAAAAAAAAAAAAAACAACAACAACGATCCCATATGTCACAACTGAAACTTAGACCTGCTGCAGTCAAATAAAAATAAATGTTAAAAAAAAGCATGCATGCAAGCATCCAAATACTAAAAAATTAAATAAAAGGAACTATTTCAGAGGTAGAATTAATAGGACCTGACAATCTCCTTTGAAGGCAAGATTTTTTTTTTTTTTTACAGTGAGTTAATTTATTTATTTATTTATTTTTTTTTTTACATGTATTCCCCATCCCGGTCCCCCCTCCCACCTCCCTCTCCACCCAATCCCTCTGGGTCTTCCCAGTGCACCAGGCCCGAGCACTTGTCTCATGCACCCAACCTGGGCTGGTGAACTGTTTCACTCTAGATAATATACGTGTTTCAATGCTGTTCTCTTGAAACATCCCACCCTCGTGAAGGCAAGAATTGTCCTTTTTCACTTAACTTAGTTTCCTCCACAATGAGGGAAGTGCAATTCCAAAGAGATTATTCCATCATAATCCTAGCTAGAGAAATAAAAATTCACATATTTTAATTCTAGCAAATTCTATTTAATGAATGAATAATGCAATCCCTTTCATTTCTGTTTAGAACAACAAAGAACCTATTTCTTCACATGTTGGATCATCAGCTAGGTAAAGCAATCAATATGTCTGTTTTGTCTCGTTGTTGCCTAAAAGGATTTCTGTCACTTGAAACCAAGGATCCTGATTAAAGATCACACATGCACAAACTTCTTCATATAATTTTTGGTATTCATATATCTCCTCCCTCCTCACCAAGTTCTTGGGTTCAAAGAACTTCAGGTTAATTTACTGCTTGATTGGTTTGCAGGATCTTAGTTCCCGTATCCTCAACAATGAAAGCAGAGTCCTAACCACTAGGCCACCAGGGAATTCCCCAAGGCCATCAGCTTTAGAGTGACGTCTATCTCACTCTAAGAGTGAAGACCCACTTCCAATACTCCTGCTTAATAACCTTTGTGGGCTCCTCAGCAAGATGTGGGTTGGCTCCTCAACCAACCTAGGTGGTTCTCTCAGCCTCCAGGGTTCCAACTGTCTTTGTGCTGACCATACCACATGGTACTTGTCTGTGGTACACCAGGTGCCTATACTCAGTCCTTGGAAAGCTCCTCCTAGCCTGTCAGGAGGTCAGCTTTGCTGCGCTGAACCTCTTTTGTGAACCATCTTCACATGCATGAAGATTCACCATGACTTCATGAGGAAGACACATGACATAGACCAGGGGCATCGCTTCCTGATCTAACCCACTACTTCTCATGTCAACTCCAAAGAGACTGGCAAATCACCCAGTAGAGAGGGATCATATGGTAGAATCACATGGTAGAATGGGAAATTCCAGGACCTGCGTTAGGACATGGTAATCCCTTTTGGCCTGTGCAATATTCCCACTATAGTAGTCATTGAGCAAAGGGTTTTTAAAAAATACATATGTTCCCCAAGGACCAATTCTGGCATGTAAAAAAAAAAATCTTATAATCGAGATGATCAGATGTCTTTAACAGTGAACAGAATAATTCATCCAAGCATTGCCAGCTCACCAGACTTCCCATGATACTCCTGACAGGAGCTGCCTCACCAGGAGTAAAGCTGGCCTCGAATCTGCCCCACGAAGGAGACAGACGGCTGAATTGCCCAGTGCCAGTGTCAGTAGTGGGTCAAGGCCTATGGCAAGGTGGGTCTGCTGGGGCACTTTCTACTCTTTGCTGTGTTGGGGATGAAAAGAATTGGCTGAGAAGGAAAGATGGATTTAAGGGACTGGAGGGATGTTGTAATAAAGAAGTTTAAATACTGAAGTCCCAAGTCTGGGACATGGGTGAAAAGACCGGTCTAGAGTAAGGCTATGCCAAGTTTAAAATCACAGTCGGTAGTTCGGAGCTGGCAGGCAAGGCGGAGCTAAGGAAGCCGGGCTGAAGATGAGATCAGGATAAAGACCCAGGTTAGGGAGCCCTTGTCCTGAACGAAACAGTTCTCAGAGACAACTTTAGAGGTGCCAGCAGTGAAGCGAATCGTCCAGAGCCTAGGGAGTTCACCACAGGCCTCGAGATAGGCACGAAGGGTTTCTTTGCTTCCTCGGTGCCCCTGTCCCAGAGATGGGTGAAAACAGGAGTGGGGCAAGTGGTTAGAATAGTCACTTCTGGCTTTGGCGAGAGGGGCTGGTCTCGGCACACTCAACCGCCAGTGTCCATTGCTGCTGCTGCTAAGTCGTTTCAATCGCGTCCAACTCTGTGCGACCCCACAGACGGCAGCCCACCAGTCTCCGCCGTCCCCGGGATTCTCCAGGCAAGAACACTGGAGTGGGTTGCCACTTCTTCTCCAATGCGTGAAAGTGAAAAGTGAAAGTGAAGTCTCTCAGTCGTGTCCGACTCTTAGCGACCCCATGGACTACAGCCTATCAGGCTCCTCTGTCCATGGGATTTTCCAGGCAAGAGTACTGGAGTGGGGTGCCATTGCCCTCTCCAGCCAGTGTCCGTTAGACCCCAACAATTCCGGTAAGGGAGGCCAAGCCCTTCTCCTCCCTTCTAGCCCTCGGGGGCTCCAGGCTGCACATCCAAAGGGCGCCATACTACTGGGGGTCTGAGCAAGGATTCTGGATGCCCAGAGCGGCGTTCCTGCCTAAAGGCGCCCAGGCTGCCAGTGCTGCCGCAGTCGCCGCCGCAGCCCCGGGCACGCAACACAAACCGCAGGATGCCTTCCTGGGACCAGAGGTCGGAAACCAGGTTATCCCCTTCCGCCGGTAGTCGGAAGTGCCTGCGACTCGAAGCAGGAGGACTTCCGGTGGGTCTGCGGGGTACCTGGGGATCACCATGGCGGCCTCCTTGGCCGGGAAGAAGATCGTGTTTGTCACGGGGAACGCCAAAAAGCTGGAGGAGGTGATGGGAGGGTGGCGACTAGGAGGCGGTGAAAGGGTAGCGTGTGGCCAGGCTGGCTCGGGAGAAGGCGGAAGGGGCTTCCAGGCGGAGCGAAGCGAGCGGGTGGCGCAGCGGACGCGGAACGAAGAGTTGGGCGGGGAGGGATGGGTTGGATCTGTAACCCGGTAGTGCCGCGTGGACTGGGACCCGCACGTGTGCGGAGTGGGGGCGACCCGGGGTTGTGCTCAACAAAATAAGGACCTTGACAAATCCGGGCACAGGACTTGTGGGCTGAGGGGTTTCGGGAGCTAATTGGTGGAGTCCTTAGCACTTGTCCCCAAGGTCACCTCTTAAGCTGGATCCCAAACCAGGACTTCGACACCCCTCTGGAGTTGATCCAAACACCGCTGCTGGCCTGGGGTTGTCAGGGGCCGGACAGGGTGTGGAGCCAGGCATCCAAGCCGAGCCGTCCACGCCCCACTACAGTCCAGAAATGTGGTCCCCAGTCTCCCAGCCTCTCTGCCATTTTTGAAATGGGGATGATGCAAGAGGTCTGTTTCACGGAGCAAAGGAGAGGTGTGAGGGAGGCAGTGGATCAAAGTTCTTGTCTACCGGGACTTTGTGGCTAGCTGTAAGGATTCTGGGGGTTGATGGAACCTCTTTGGCTGCAAATAGTAAAGAGACACAGATAGCTTATGTAAACCACTAGGTGACTATTGTGGGAATACAGTAGTGTGCTGTTCCATAGGACTTAAGGAGTCCTTCTCAGGGGTCCCTCGAGAGGGGTTTATTTGTCCTTCTGGTTCTCCCTGGATGCTCATCGCTTTTCATTTTGAGGTCTTTCTGCATTTCCCCTCCTGGTGGAGGAGGCAGTGAGGCTTCTGCCAGACATCAGCTCTGATTGGCCTTGCTTGGATCAAAGGTTTGTCCCTGCTCCGTCAGCCATGGCCAGGAAGATGGGTCATGTGTGGGGAATCAGGATGACATCCAGTCGATATCTGAGGCAGACCAGTGGGGTCCAGTCATAAGGGGACCCTTCATTTATCTACAGTACAAGGACTGATGGTACATCTGTGCCATTTCAGAGTGGCCTTCTCAGAAGTCAGAGCCCTGGGGTGAGAAAAGGTTTGGGATCCTAAGGCCAGACCAGTCAGACAGGCAGTGCCACCCTGAACAGAGCCCCATGCAAGATGGTGGCTTCCAGCTCCCAAGCCTATCTCTACTTCTGGTTGAGTATGTGGCCCTCCCACATTGAAAGAGGCAGGAGGGAATTCCCTGTGGGTCCAGTGGCTAGGATTCAAGAGATCCCACAAGTCACATGGCATGGCCAAAAAAACCCCCCAAAAAACAGACTGGAGTGGCTAGAGGAGGCTCACTGGAGAAGATGGACTTGAAGTTGGCATAAAATAAGAGTTTTAACTTGTTATCCCATTGGCAGAATGATGATGCCTATGGACCCTTTCTCAGGAAAATATTTTTAAATGTACAAAATAAAATACATGAGATTACCAGGAAATCAAGGGATTCCCTGGTGGCTCAGCAGTAAAGAATTATCCTTCAGTGCAGTAGATGTGGGTTCAATCCCTGGGTTGGGAAGATCCCCTGGAGAAAAGGGGATATTCTGGGAAATCCCACGGACGGAGGAGTTGGGCAGGCTGCAGTCCATGGGGTTGCAAATAGACAGACATGATTTAGTGACAAAATCACCACCACAAAGGAAGTCAGTTCTATTGATTTACAATTCTCAAAATATAAATATCTGTGATCTAGTTACATATTTTTTGTTCATTAAGAATTCAATCTATCATTTTGTGTTATTATCAATTTAATAATAGTGAAGGTTGTAAATGGTATTTTGAGATTATCTGCTAGAACTGTAAAGGGATATGACAACATCTTTGATTTTAATAGATTTAAATGTCACAGGAACTGCTGATGCTATTTGTTTGTTTTCTATATCCACAATTGAAAGAGATGCTAAATTTCAGCTCAGGGTTAGTGAAAATAGAGAGGTATTTTTTTTTCTATCCAAGTTCTGGGTAGATCCTCCTGAATTCCAGGTAACCCCTGATAGAAAATTCCTGGCCTAAATGATAGGTTCTGGGAGCATTAAGAAGGGAAGAGGGTGTTCTAGGTGGTGGTTAGCATGAACAGAGACCTGAAGTAGGAGGGAGGGATCAGAGAATGAGAAGACGAGGGAGCTGACCTGCTGGGGTGGGACCCTGAGGGCTAGAGTTGAGGCTCATGGACCTGACTTTGAACTTTAGGGAATTGACAGGAGAGTTACCTATTGAGAAAGGTGGGTGACAGCTTGTGCAGTAATGGGGAATCATTAAATGGTGACAAATGTTCTTTCATTTTGGAACAGGTCATTCAGATTCTAGGAGATAAATTTCCGTGCACTTTGGTGGCGCAGAAAATTGACCGTATGTCTCTGTTTAGTTTTATTTTTAAAATATGATTCAATTTTTCTAACTCCCTGTGACCTGATTGTGTATCTGTTTCCCTCACAAGTGCCAGAGTACCAAGGAGAGCCTGATGAGATTTCCATTCGGAAGTGTCAGGAGGCAGCTCGCCAGGTGCTTGCTCCATTCGTGTCTTGTACTTGCTCCTCTTGTCCTGGTGGCTCCTGGGGTCTGTGCCTGCTGGGGATGGGTAGAGAATGTGGTGGGCACAGTTTATGATGACTTGAAGGGCCTTTCCATGTCTAATCAGGCTGGAGTCAGTTAATAGTTATATGTTGCCTTCCTTTCTCAACCTTAACTGTGTAGTATCCCCCTAAGATGACCACACACACAGACACACACACAATTTTCTCTTCCCAGGTCTCTGGTGCATTCATTCCATCCCCTGCATTCTCCCCATACATATCCACCCTGCACTCACACATCTCTCTGGAGCTGAGAAATAGCACTTTGTAAAGAATCAGCCTGCTTGAGTGTAATCCCACCTTTCCTGTCATTGTACAAGCTTTACAACCTGCTGGGGTTTTGTTGTCCCCGTCTCTCAAACAGATGAGAAGATAAGAGATTAGCCCAGGGTCTGCTGCTGCTATTGCACAGCCCAGCTAGCTGTGGGTCTGGCCCTGGCCTGGGTGGCCTGAGAATTCAGAGCAGAGGTGGGGCCTGCTGGTGGGCACGGGTCTCAGGGCTGTATGTCCTTATGCTGCAGGTGCAGGGCCCTGTTCTGGTGGAGGACACCTGTCTGTGCTTCAACGCCCTTGGGGGCCTCCCTGGCCCCTACATGTGAGTGCTCTCCCACCCCTTTGCGGGGCCCTGGCCACAAAACCACCTTCAGTTGATTGGTTACTTGATATTGCAGGTCATTCACTGTCTTGGTGTCAACACGAGTATGTCAGATTATTGAGGAAGGATTAGGGATGGGGGAGAGGCATGCCTTTCTTTTGTTAAGTGTGAGAATGTGATTGTGTAAGCTGAGATGGGCAAGGGGAACTCACCCATTGGAGAGGTAATCCTTGGGCAGGTCAGTTTCAGGAAAGAGGAAATAAGGAAGTTGAGCTCTGCAGATGGATTTCCTTAAATCTATCCAGTGTCCTGGACCCCCCTCAGGCTTCCCAGGTGGTACTAGTGGTAAAGAACCTCCTGCCAGTGCAGGAGGCTCAAGAGATGTGGGTTTGATTCCTGGGTCAGGAAGATCCCCTGAAGAAGGAAATGGCACCCACTCCTAGATTCTTGCCTGGAAAATTCCGTGGATAGAGGAGCCTGGTGGGTGACAGTCCATGAGGTCCCAAAGAATCGGACATGACTGAGCGAGGGCACACACACACACGGGGTACAGATACCCCAGTTTGTTGGGTTTTGGTTATGTAAACAGTTGATCCGTGAACAACTTGGGGTTAACCTGCATATAACTTACAGTTGGCCTTCCATATCCGTGGGTTCAGCCATGTATTACTGTGGTATTGACTATTGAACAATATCCACATATGAGTGAACTTTGGCAGTTCAAATCATGTAGTTCAAGGGTTAACTGTATCTTTAACTTTAGGATTGCTCATTTGTTTGCCAACGCAGTAGCACCCCTACATGTGCTCTGTATTCTTACCAGCACTGTTCCATGACTTTTTAGTACTTTAGTGGGTGAGTTGGAAATGTTATCACATGCAATTTTAATTTGCATTCCCCTAATTAGCAGTGAGGTTGAGGCCTTCATTGGTTTATTGATTCTTCTGTGCATTGCCTGTTTGTCTCCATCTCCTTTTTCCTGTTGGATTATTTCTCTTCATTTTGAGTTGAGACATTATCTTTTCTCCTTGACTCTCAGAGCTTTAATTCCTGGGGGATGCAGCCTGGAAAGAAGGTAGTAGGAACACCCATCTATTTGTGGTATCTGTCTCACCTTTATTTCTCTTGCAGAAAGTGGTTTCTGGAGAAGTTAAAGCCTGAAGGTATTATTCCCATTTGTCTCTTTCGATGTGTTTGGAATTAAGAAATCTGTGGGTTCTAAGGGAGGAGCTCCAGCTAGTAATCAGGAGTCTCAGGTTCTGTCCCCTTCGAGGCCTCTGTTCACTTCAGTATCCCCATCTATAATCTACAGCTCACACTTTCTCTGTAATCCTAGCTCCAGGGAGCACTGAGATGTGGGAGGAGTAGATGGGGGGGGGGTGTGGTGGTGGTGAGAGCTTTGAGATTGAGGGGCAAAGGGAGATTCTGGCTCTGAGAGGATTGGCCCCACCACTTGCTGTCGTTGCCTCAGCAGAATGTGGAGAGGGGGACACCCTGCTTCTCTTCCTGGTCCCAGCGCCATACCCTGGAACCCACAGTAGTAGAATAAGGGACCCTACATCCCCATCACCCAACTTCCTGGGTTATCAGCACAGGGCCTATTTGGTGACGTGTAAAACTCCCCTCCCCCAACTGGGCCCCTTGGGTGGGGAGTTGGGCCTGGGGCTTGGCAGCACAGAGTGTGCTGAGCCCTCACTGCACCTTCCCTCAGGTCTCTACCAGCTCCTGGAGGGGTTCCAAGACAAGTCTGCCTATGCACTCTGCACGTTCGCATTCAGCACTGGGGACCCGAATGAGCCCATACGCCTCTTCAGGGGTCGGACAATGGTATGCGCTCGTGCTCGTTCCCCTGCATGCCACCAGAGGGCGCTGTGGAGCCCCCCCTCCCCCCCCAGTGATGCTATCTGGTGGGATGGTCACACCCCTAGGTACCAAAACTTGAAATGCTGTCAGTCCTAAAACTTGTTGCCTCCTGAGTGTGATGTTTGGAAACATACATGCCTCACAGCTTTTGGAGCCTGGTATACCCAGAGCTGTGCACTGTATGCTCTCCTGAGAAGTAGATGTGGGAACTAAAGATGACAACTCCTAGAGCTACATCTGCAGTTCAGACTTCTCCAAGCTTGAATCTCCTTATCACACTGCTGTGCAACAGCTTGCCTTGAACATCTCACAGCCTTTCCAAATTTTTACGTTCATATAGAATCTTCCTCTCCCCGCAGCTCATTCCTTTCAAGGTGCCCTTCAGTGTCTCCAGGCTTACCAATCAGACCATAGGTTCAGCTGCTTCTCTCAGTCCAAACCACCCTCTGTGCTGGGCTTCCCGCCCCACCCCGGCCCATTCATTCCCTCCCTGTGGCAGGGTTTACCTTCAGACACATCACTTCTCTACTTTGTCCTCTCTGCTCAGGATAAAATCCAGAGTCTCACTGTAGCCCATATAGCCCTACACCAGTGGCTCCATCTAAGTTATATCTGATGCTTTTGTGACCCCATAGACTGTAGCCCATCAGGCTCTGTCCATGGGTTTTTCCAGACAAGATTACTGGAGTGTGTTGCCATTTCCTCTTCCAGGGAATCTTCCCGATCCAGGGTTCAAACCCACATCTCCTGCACTCACAGGCAGATTCTTTACCACTAAGCCATCAGGGAAGCCTCCCTGATGAGATGTTCAGTTCTTATGGTAAAAAAACAGGTTTCAGAAATTATCATCTTCACCATTAAGTGTATAGTAGTGTACACTATTGTGCAAAAGATCTCTAGAAATTTCTCATCTTGCAAAATTGAAACTATTCCCATTGAATAACAGTCCACCTTCCTCTCTTCTGGGCTTCGCTGTTGGCTCAGACAGTAAAGAATCTGCCTGCAGTGCAGGAGACCTGGGTTCGATCCCTGGGTTGGGAAGATCCCCCTGGAGAAGGGAATGGCAACCCACTCCAGTATCTTGTTGGAGAATCCCATGGACAGAGGAGCCTGGCAGACTACAGTCCATGGGGTTGCAAAGAGTTGGACATGACTGAGTGACTTTAACTTCACTTCACTTCACTTTACTTCCTCTCTTCTCCCCAGCACCTGGTAAGCACCATTCTGCCTTCTGTTTCTAAGTTCAGCTACCTCAGACACATCATATAAGTGGAGTCCTGCAGTGTTTGTTTTTGTGTGACTGTCTTATTTCACTTAGCATAATGTCTTCATCTCATCCATGTTGTAGGGTGTGACAGGATCTCCTTTTTTAAGGCTGAATAATATTCCATTGTATGTATGTACCACTTTATTTACAGGCATATCTTGTTTTATTGAGCTTTGAAGATACTGTATTTACAAATTGAAAGTTTGTGGCAACCCTGCACTATCAGATGATGGCTAGCATTTTTTAGCAATAAAGTGTTTTTAAATTAAGATATTTATGTTTTTTATTTTCCCTTTATGGATCACAGCCTAGTCGTGGTGAAGGAGCTTGTGTAACTCAACGAATCTAATGAGTCTGGGGCCACCCAAGACAGACAGGTCATAGTGAAGAGTTCTGACAAATCGTGATCCACTAGAGGAGGAAATGGCAATCTGCTTCAGTATTCTTGCCGCAAGAACCCCATGAAAAGGCAAAAAGATAATGACACCAGAAGATGAGCCCCCCTCAGGTCAGAAAGTATCCAATGTGGTACTGGAATGAGAAGGTTAGATAACATCTCAGGCTCAATGGACATGAATTTGAGCAAATTCTGGGAGATAGTGCAGGGCAGAGGAGCCTGGTGTGCTGCAGTCCTCAGGGTCGCAAAGAGTCAGACATGGCTTAGTGCCTAAACAACAAAAACAAGTATTGTTTTTAAGACATAATGCTATTGCATACTTTTATATGCAGTAGGAAACGAAAACATTCATGTCACTTGGTTTATTGTGATAATTGCTTTATTACAGTGGTCTGGAACTGAACCCACAATATCTCTGAGGTTTGCCTGTATTTGCTGATGAACACTTGAATGGCTTCCACATTTTGGCTCATAATACTGCTGTGAACATGGGTGTGCAAATATCTCTTCAACATCCCATTTTCAGTTCTTCTGGATCTATATCCACAAATGGGATTACTAGATTGTATTGCCTGGTGAAATTTTTTGACATTGGTTATAGTGGTCTGCTACTCTCACAGAAATGTTCTCTCAGAAATCAAAAGTTTGACCAACCACAGGCTCAGTTTCCTGCCCTGTGGCTGAGTAGCTGCTGTGCTGCTGACCGGGCCCGATCCCGACCACCGCCATTCCCTGTTGTCTCCCCAGCTGGGGCTTGGTGGTTTTTGTCCTTTGTTTTTGTGCTTTATTGTTTGCCAGCCCTTACTTTAAATGAGGTAGCCTTGTTTCTTCTTGTCCTGTTCTCACCCATGCTCTCTAAGCCCCAGCCACATAGTCCTTTCAGCAGGGTGTGTGCTAGGCCCTTCTCCATCTCAGGACCTTGGAGCAGCTCTGTCCTCCACCTAGAATGTCCTGCCCTCGCCCTTTATGTGGTCAGAGTGTCCCATCTTCACTCAGGCCTTCCCTGAGCTCCCCAGCCTGTTATTCTTGAGCCCAGCTCCCAGTTTGTGCCCTCTAATGATTTGGTAATCATTCATTTGTTTACTGGTGCAGTGCTTGTTTTGCTTGAAGAGATCCATTCTGTGAAGGCAAGGCTAAGGCTTTCTTTGATCCCCGTGCTAAATACACTGCCTGCCTTGATGAGGTATTCAAAAAACATTTGTCGCATGAGTGATTCAGTAACTGGCCTCAGTCACACAGCCCCCCATTAGCAAAAGCAGAATTTGTGTTTGGTCTAAAGGACTTGGAATTTATGTGGCTAATTCCCATCCTCTACTACCTCCCTTGTATTTTTAATGTGTTTTTTTGTTTTTAATTCCCAAAGTAACCTGATATCTCATGACACTGGTTCTCTTTGTAAAATTTTCCTTTTGGAATTTGCCTATTACAGCCAGTACTTATTGAGCTATTTTTGAGTTGAACATTGTGCTATTGTGTTATTTGTTAGAGCCATCTTTGTATTTTGATAAGTGTAGTAATAGTAGGAGATAGAGGGTTTGTCGGCAAAGTTTAGGACCCTCAAACTTCCACTTAGGGGAAAATGTTTTCTATTAATTTTTCTTTTTTTTTTTTCCTGTTAATTTTTCAAAATTGACTTTTCTTCAGTGAGGTCACAGTTTGTCAAACCTTTGGAGAGGGAGGGTGGTCCCAGGGGTGTCAGTGGCCTGATCAAGCATGTGGTTCCTCACTGTCCGTGGGGAGCGAGCTCTCCTGCTCTGCATTTTTTGTGTGTTCAGCAGTCATTTGCCGGCACCATGGACCCCTTGAAATAATATGAGTGACTAGGGTTTAACCGAATTCACTAACTAAACTAAACTGGCTACTGCCCTCCTCATAGTGCATCTCCACGTCCAGTGACATAGCTATGCCCCCTTTTCTTTGGCAGGGCCGGATAGTGGTGCCCCGTGGCTGCCGGGACTTTGGCTGGGACCCCTGCTTTCAGCCCGATGGATATGAGCAGACGTAAGGAGCCCCAGTTATTTCCAGGGGTGTGGGGTCGGATGGCCGTGGTCTGGGTTGGGCCAGTGCCCCACCTAGGTGCAGGCATGCGGACACGGGCGGGGGCAGGCTCTGAGGTGCCTTTCCAGTTGAAGGCAGCTCTGCTGGGGGTGGATGCAAGGAATCTGAGTGACACAGTCCACAGCTGGGAGGCAGCTGGGTGTAGCTGGAAGTCTTGGGCTCTTGGGCTCAGCTGACCGCAGAGCAGCTGTGTAGCTTCCCCTCTCTGACTTGGGCTTGTCAGCTTTGCTATGGATGGATGATTATCTGACCCTTATCTAGTTTGGAAAAATGTTAACAGCTGGGCACCACATTAACGCCCCCGCCCCCACCCCCCAGTGCCAGTGCCAGGTGTTCTCAGTATTTCAGGCTAACCCCACTTGTCTACATGGGGCATGTTGGCCATTATTGGGAATCGGTTTGTCAAGCTGGAGGGACCCTTCAGGAGCGTGGCCTGAGGCCTTACAGTAGGACTGAGGACAACATGAAACATCGTTCAGTGACACAGATGTTCTGTAACTGCACTGTGTGATCCAGTAGATGTTAGCCACATGTGGCTGTAGAGCATTTGTAATGTGGTTAGAGCAACTGAGGAAAAGAATTTATTTTTATTCAATTGTAATTGGTTTAAATTTAAATGGCCACATACTGGTGGCCACTGTATTGGATGGCACAGATGTGAAAGTAACAACTGGAGTATGGGATTCTCAGCTCACTGGAGTCCTGACATGGGTGGCTGGCTGGCTGTTTAAGGCCCACTTCCCCTGCCCATCTGCCCACCCCACAGTGCCCTGGAGAAAATTGCTGTGTTTGCTCTGTTAGGCCCCACTGCTTCCTGTCAACAGATGACAAAGCTGATCAAACATGCAGCTCATCCCCCTGTCCCCAGCTTCCTTTTAATGACTTTTGGACACACTAGAACAAATTTAGTATCCTTCCACACAGATTAATATGGATTTCTACCTACAGTGGAATTTAAGACTCTGATTTTTAAAAAATTAACTCTGGCTGCCAGGAGCTGGTGGCCCTGCTACCTTTTACTAGGGACTCTGAGCTTTGGGCTCCAGGATGCGGTAAGGTGTACACACCCTCCCCAAGTCTGGGCTCCCTCTTCTCTGAGCTGTTATTGTCGCCCTGTAGGTATGCAGAGATGCCCAAGGCTGAGAAGAACACCATTTCCCATCGCTTCCGGGCCCTGCTTCAGTTGCAAGAATACTTTAGCAGCCTGACTCCTGGGGCCGGTAATGACCACTCTGGCTGGGGATCTGGAGAGGGGTAGCCTGAAACTACCTCTATCAGGCAGGCACCTGTCCAAGTATTTCCTTCAGGATTACCACTTTCTGGTGGTGTTAACTAGCTGTTAGGAGCAGCTGGCTCTGTTTGGAGAGACTTTGGCCAAAGGACACCACCATCCTCTTGCCCTTGTGGATTCAGTGGTCTCTTACGGCCTCCAGGCCTGGAATCCTGAAAGGACCTTGGGTGTTAACCCTTCAAAGGGTTAACGGATTGGGGAAGAACCATACAAACAGCCCTCAATGTTTTTTAAATGCAGCAAATAAAAATTCCAGAAGGTACTTGCTTCCATAATAAATTGGGTATAGCTGCTTTGAAACCTCCCCAGGCAGGCATCTGTCTTCTGAGTCCCTTTAGGCAGAAGCAGGAAACCTCTCAGGGTCAGGAAAGAGGGCTGATGGTTGGGATGGCCAGATGAGGGCAGAGCTGTGTTGAGGCTGTTTGTATACCATTGCTAGCTGGAATATTCTGTCTTCCCCTTGTGTCTTTCAAGTCTCAGATCACGCGTTGAACTTTTCCATGCAAAATCCACTCCGCCACTCAGCTGGCCTCTGTTGTGTTTGCCAACTGGGTTGTGGGGCAGGCAGTGTGGGGTGGTGTGTGCTTTTTCTTTATGCTGGTGTACATTAGAGCAGCTACAGTGCTGGTTTATGATTGTAACTCCAGGTTCATTTTTGTGGCAGGGATGGGGGATGGAGTACTTCACCCTGTTGGGTTGATATGTCATAGTTCAGCCTGGGGGACCAACTAAGGGCCCGACTCAGCTGCCCCAGACCCTTACTATGCCCTGGTGAAGCCATTCCCTGGGGGGATTTCAGAGGGCTGGAATGGCTCCCTTGTTTTCTGCAGGTGCTACCCTGGTAAAGAGGAGCTGCCCAACCCCAAGGACAGTCAGAAAAGCCTGTTGTGTGTAGTAGCTTGGGGGGTAGGGGTCCTCAGTGCTGGTGTGTCACTCCCAGGCCTAAGCTTCGTCCCCTCCCATCACTGTTCCTTAGTCCTGGCAGCTTGGCCTGGGGCCTGGATTTAATGTTTATTTCCCTAGACTGTGTCAACAGGTATGGGTGAGGACAGGACCTCATCCCTTTGCTCCTCTGCTGCCTGCGAAGTCCAGCTGGGTGTTTCCTCGGGAAGTGCCAGTGGCCATGCCCAGCCTCCTCCGAGTTGTCTCCTTGGAGTAGGTGGTATGTGGCTGGGACTCAGATGGGGGGTACCTGCCTTCTTACCTGGTGATCCTGGACATGGCCCTACCTGCAGGGAACACCCAGGCTACTGGGAAGGGGCCCCATAGAAGGGTCACCTGCTGTTATGTGAGTGGGTGACTACGTGGCACTTGGAGCAGGGCACCTCTCTCTTTCTGGTCCCCAGCTGCTTCCTCATAGACTTCTGTCCTGGGTGCACAGTACACTTTCTGACCCCCTCTTTAAACTTGGCTACCCATCCTGAAGGCTTCCCTGGTGGCTCAGACGGTAAAGAATTCGCCTGCAATGCTTGAGACCTGATTTCGGTCCCTGGGTTGGGAAGATCCCCGGGGAGAAGAGAATGGCAGCCCACTCTGGTATTCTTGCCTGGAGAATTCCATGGACAGAGGAGCCTGGTGGGCTACAGTCCAGGGGGTCACAAAGAGTCGGACAGACTTAGTGACTACCACTTTTACTTTGACCCATCCTGCAAGCAGCATGGTGACTGCCTGTCTTACCCCACCAGCCACCTTTCACTGGCCTCAAGCCTTCTTGGGGCCCTTGCATGTGCTTGTTCTAGAACACTTTCCCTGCAGGTTCCTGGCAACATGGCAGTACAAAGGCCTCCTGGATCTTCCACATTTCCCTGTTGGGGTGCTGTGTGGAGCTGGAAGTAACAACCCTTAGGTGGCATTCAACAGTCAGTCCCTTTCATCCCTCTTCCCCTGGGAGGGTCTCTTCCTCTCTAGAGTCCTTAGGTGGCCTTCAAAGGCTGGGGCAGGGCAGCATGGATGGAGGTAGCATGTAGAAGCATAGAAACAGAAGCTTTATTCTCTAATGTGCATCCAGGAAGTTCCTTACACAATCAAGGAAATGGTTTCTCTTTCGGCCACCTCACACTCTTTATCAAAAGAAAATCCGTCCTGCTTATTCCCACCCTGGGCAGAAGCTGCCCTGAGCAGCATTCTGGACCCAAAGCAAAGGGCTAGTGGGAAGAGGAGCAGACACATCCCTCAGAGCTCCCTGAGTGCCCAGGCACCCTCGGCCACTTGGGACAGCTGTGAGGGGGTACAGCACAGAGCAGCATTCCCGGATGCCCACACACAGCTACACAGCCAGCCTGGGAAGACCTGGAGAAATGGGCAAATGGGGTGTGGCCAGGACCTGCTAGTCAGAACGTCAGTGCTCAGCATCCATGGCATCCAAGTACTTTGCTTCAATGATTTGGGGCAGCACCTTGTAGCTGCGGGGAGGAGGAACAGGCAGGAAGATAAGCATTGGGGCAGGGAGGAATAGGCAAAGAGCAGCCATTCTAGCCCACCCTCTCCCGCCCCGCTGAGTCCCTTCTGCCTGCTGTCTGCCCTCCGTACCGAATGGGGATCATGGCAATCATGATGAGGGGAAAGACCATCTTCATGTAGAGCAGTGGGCTCATGCCAAAGGCACAGAGCAGCAGCAGCTGCAGGACCTGCAGGCCTGTGAAGTAGTGGATCTTCCTCTGGGGCACCCTCCGGATGTAGTGGGTGGGTGGGTAGGACGTCTGTGGATGGCAGGGACCAGGTGTGGGCAGGGCTGGAGCCAGATCCCCCACCCCGGCCCCCACTCTCAGGGCCACTCACCTGGTCCTTGAGCAGCAGCTCCAGGCGCTGAAACAGCTGGTTGCCGTCAATGGAGGTGAGCGCGAGGTAGAGGAAGAGGCCGTAGAGCACAGGCTTGGGGATCCACTGTAGTGGGAAGGGCAGCAGCAGGAGGGAGACGCCCATCAGGATGCTGGTGCCCAGGGAGGTCAGCCGCGTCTCCTTCACGTTCACAATCCTGTGAGGGTCCGGTGCATTGGGTCACTCTGGCCTGGTCCACAGGGCTGTGTTCATCCCAGGTCACATGCTGACCAGGCTCTGTCACTTCTGGGCCCTTGTCCCCCAAGCCAGTATCCCTCCTCAAGTCCCATGTGGCCCAGGGCTGCCCCCACACCTCAGGGCCCTCGTGACTCTGGCCTCACATCTCGAGGGGCCCTCTTCACACTCACGTCTCGTAAATGTGCCCGTTCTCTACATGCTCTTCCACCAAAGCCAGTGCTCGCACATGCAGCAGGGAGTGGGGGTAGGCAGCATGGATCCAGGGCAGCCCAAACAGAGACAACCCAGTATTGATGATGGCGATGAGCAGGAGGTCCCAGTGGTAGGCAGTGCCCTTTACCAGCCTGCAGCGGGCGGGGTCACATATGGCCAGAGCCCTCTTGGCCCCTGGAAGGTTGGGCACATGCTCACCCCTCCATCCCCAGCCCTGCAAACCTGTTCTGTGGGGAGTTAGCCAAGGCAGCCACCAGGTTCTGCTCTATGAAGAAGAGCATGGAGAGGAGGAAGCCGAGGCCCATGGCGCTGCTGATGGCCACCAGGGATAGCGAGTGCATCTCGGCTATCTCGAACAGGTTCTCACTCGGGCTGTAGCGAAACTTGACCACTGCAGTAGGGTACAGGCCCCTGCTCAAGCTTGCATCCCGCACAGAGCCACCCACCCCATTCCCACCCCACGGCTGGTCCTAACTTACTCTTAATCTCCTGGAAGCCGTAGGAAGAGATGAGGGAGAAGGTAAGCACCGAAATGGGCAGGGCACAGTCTGACAGGATCTCACGCATGTAGGGGTGCAGGTAGGGGCTACGGAGGCAGGTGAGTGTCAGTGTGGCCTAGGGGCTTGTGTCCCGCTCACCCGAGGGGGCACCCCTCACCTCTTCTTCAACTGGTAGAGGGTGTAGCTCAGCCAGAGTGTGCCCAGCATGATGAGGAGGCTGAGCACAGCCGTATCCCGGGCCAGAGGCTCGGCGTCCTGGCTGCCCGTTGTAGTTAACTCCGGTGGGCTACTCAGGAAGCTGGTGTTGAGGGCAGTGTGGAGGCTACTGTTGAGGCCCAGCAGGTTCACCAAGGAGGACTCCTCTTTGAAGAGTCTAGCGTCATGGCCATAGTAGTACTTCTGGAAGACTATGGGTACAGACCATCAGAATTCAGCCATCTGGGCTCTGGGAGCCTGGGCCTAGCAACTTCCTCCTAGATGTGGGCAGAAGGAGCCCTGAGGGGAGAAAGGGATTCTGGGCGGAAGAGGGGAGAGCTGGCCTTCTGTCAGCCAGGATTCCTCAACCTGTCTGTCTACCCACCACCTCACACCCTGCCCTTTGTCCATTTCTGACAGTGAATCCTGCCTGACCCAGGGCCTCTGATTCTGCCTAAGACAGCTCTGTCACCTGCTGATTGCTGCACGTTGTCAGTCATGGCTCCCATAGCACCCTGGACTGGGGAAGCGGCCTTAGCTTGCATGATTCTTGGCTGCCTTGCCACAGTCTCTACCCCCATCTCAACTCAGCTTCCCCTGCAGCAGGTGGCCACTGGCTGTATAATACTCACTTTTGACCATGCCCTTGACAGCATCTAGAACGAACGTGATAGAAATGAACAAGGCAATGATCTCCTCTGTTGACCTGCCAGCAGAAGGTATGTCTCATAAGGTGGGGTGAATTGTAAAAGGTGGGTTTCCCCAAACCTTGGCATGGCTCCTACCTCCTGCATGAAGAGGGCCAGGGCCCCAAGCTTTTCCCTTGGGATAGTGATATGGTGGGGGCACCCCATCTTATCTAGGGTTACAGGGCCTTGGAGGGTGGCATGGAAGCTGACCCACATTCCTAGCCTTGGTCTCCCTCCTGCTTGAAAGTCCCAGAAGCTTAGGGAAGGCTCTGTTACCTCTTGAAAAGACTCATGACCAGGCTGAGGTTGAAGAGGGCATAAAGTGTGAGGAAGAAACTGTTCCACAGGCCTGTCC